TGGTCAATCCCACTATTCGTTGGTAAAAGAGTAGCCCAAGAGTTGGCGGTGGGTGGTGATGACTAGCTGCCTTAAACTGCACAAAATACAGTTTGATTTTTTTTAAATTACTAATCAGAAAAAAATATATACAACACATTACAGCTACAGTAAAATCAAACTATTCTTTATATGTGTCCAACTGTACAATTTCTGGAATTTATAAGCGTACCCTTTATTGATTTGTTTGTTGATAAACACATAGCTGCACAGTGGGCTCTTTGTAATTTCACATTGCGGGTTTCTAAAACCAGATTGTTAATTTTATAAACCCTCAAACTTCTGCTGAGTCACGGGAGGGGAGGGGGATAGACCGTCTATTGGAAAGAACGTTTTAATAAAATCCGAAGGTTTGACAACAAGGAGATTTATTGTGAGTAATAACAAGAGTGCTGATTATAAACTTTGTATCATTATAAAACAAAGCTATTATTTTAAACTGAATATGCATGTTCATCGTGACCGAACGTTAACAACTATAATATATGATCTTAGTTATTTAAAACAGAGTTGGAAGACAAGATACCATAATCTCTTCCCTATAAATACTTCTCATAAACAATGTCTACACGGGATATAAGAATCAAAAAAGTTCAAACTCAAAACCAGTATTCCTAAACAATTCTTTCCGGTGTACAACCAGCTCTTTCGAGTAAATCGGTCACAAAGAGGAATGGTTGAATGTAGAATTGGTAGTAAATATACAAGTTTGACATTTCTGACAAATTACTGATACTTAACGTAGAGAGCTGTATGTAATGTGCTGGGAAAAAAATCACTTAATATAGAATATCACCTGGCCGCCTTGAATTAGTTATCTGGCGTTAAATACATCTATAACTTTTTAAAGAGCTCAGAACTGCCTATTCAATATACCCAGAGTGTTCAATCTGCTGCTTTATTTTATATACGGGCTGTAGTCCGTCAGACGCTTATTAACAATATTAAATGCAAAGCGTTGGCTCGTATGGTGTCTTGAGGGTCAAAACTGGGGTTATGAACAATGGGAAAATCATAGTGAGAGTTGGGGCCCCACTATTCGTTGTTTGCTTCAGATGGTTTCATAAGACCCAGAAGAACCTTTTAGATATCATTGTTTTGTCCTACAGTGAAGAGTGGCGGGAATAGAAACACGTAGTGGGCCAATTTTAACTGGCTTGAAATGACGCTTGAGGGACAGCAAAGATACTTTCTACATTTAAGCTACTTTGAAGAGGAGTGTCAATCTGTTCCAAGAGATGTACAAACAGTTGGTATGAAATTAGTGCCCGGACTTTGATTAGCGCTAATTTTTGCCCAACTGCCCATTAAAATAAAGCCTTGTTAAACAGTGGAATACGATACACACATCTATCTACCAAGTATATGCCGTTTCAAAACTTCTGACAAAAGTAGTTTTCAAATACTTTATTTTAGAACAAAACTTTTTTTTCTTTTATCAATTGAGATGTACAATTTATTTTTAAGTTCGGGTATAGATTGTATAGTTTCAGTTTTTTTTTTTTCAAATTTAGTTTTGATTATCGAAAGTGTCAACGATTCGGTATTATTTCATTTTGTTTAAATACAAGGTATTTTACAGTATTTCACCTTTTTTCTTTCAGATCGTTCTGTACGTTCGATCTATTAAATTTCTCTAAAGAATATATCAAAAAGTTAAAGAAAACAGTAACTGTTTCCGGTGGTGCTTAAAACCCAATTGTTTTATCATTTCAAAGTATTGTTCTTAGTGAAAATTCTGCACTCTTCACTTCAAAGTGAAGAATCAAAAGTAAGATTATGCAGAGACCAAAAGGAAAATTTTGTTGTCATTTTTGGAAAAAAAGTAAAACACCAACCCCTGCATATTCGAATGCATAGTAGTATCTGAAAATCTTGGTATTTATGTCCAAACATCGTAATGGGGTTTGAATCGACAGGTTTGCTGTCTCTCTCATTGATATATAATATTCTAATTTTCTTCTTTTTTATGAGCAACTATCTTCCAACTTCTGTCTGCAGACAGTGAAAGGTGGTAAAGATGTGGGACGTTGTGGGCTTGAGAACCCACATCTGCTCCTTTCTCTTCTTCTAAGCATGCGAGTCCGGCGAGATCGAGGTTAAACCGGATAAACGGCTAACCCTTAACGAAATATGGGTCTTGCATCCGCCGGTACCTCAAAAAACCAGGGCACATTACATAATAACCCACTCTATGATTTGTGTCCCGATGTTGGATATGTTTTGTGGCTGTCTTTTTTTTTTTCAATTATATTCTTTGTTTATTTACTTATTTATTTTACTGTTTCCCTCTCTATAAAATTAAATTTGTTTCATCTAAGGTTTGGATATATTATGTAAAATTAACACTGTCCTTCCTTTTGATGTACGCCCGGCATGGCCAGGTGGTTAGGGCACTCGACTCGCAATCTGAAGGTCGCGGGTTCGAATCCCCGTCCCACCAAACATGCTCGCCCTTTCAGCCGTGGGGGCGTTATAATGTGACGATCAATCCCACTATTCGTTGGTAAGAGAGTATCCCAAGAGTTGGCGGTGGGTGGTGATGACTAGTCCCTCTAGTCTTACACTGCTAAATTAGGGACAGCTAGTGCAGATAGCCCTCGTGTAGCTTTGCGCGAAATTCAAAACAAACAAACCTTCTTGATGTAATCTGTTTATAATTTTTTTTCTTGTAGCTTACTTAAATGAATAAAATTATTGGTAACAACCGCTGATTCACGAGGCCTTACTTTTATTTATTAATCCTAGGTGCCTTCTTAAGGCGGCAGTTAGGTGACCCGGAAAAAAGACGAACTTCTATAGGTCATCGATCGTTTGAAGGATGTGATCATCATAGAGCCTTAATTCACAGGAGTGACTCTAAAGGGGTACGTATTGTATTATATGTTTAAATGTTTAGTGAAAAGGATCTTCACGGGTTTTTATTTTTAACAGCTTAATTTTTGAAAGCACAAAACACTGGAATACTTGAACGAGCGTTACGTCTATTCGTCAGTACTTCATATAATTATTCATTACTGCCCATGTTACAAATTACCACAGTACTCATTTTCGAAACTATGTAGTTCCGCCGATATCTTGTTTGGTCAAGTAACTTGAGAAATGGAAATACTACTGCTGCCTCAAATTTTAGGTTGTGCGGATGAGTCCACACTGGTTCTCAAGAAGTAATCGAAAATTATTCAAACTAGTAAGTACAATTTATAATAGTTTGAACTGTGTATTCATTCATATTGAATCAGGCCGAGCGTGATCTGTGTGTAGTTAGCGTGCTACACGGTGAATTTGAGAGTCACTATGATTCTTGACTCGAACTTTGAGGCTGTAGGGGCGTTATAAGAATGACAGTCAAACCCCACTATTTGATCAGAGTAGTCCAATAGTTTGCGGTGGGTGCTGTCGACTAGCTGCCTTCCAGCTAATCTATCAGTTCAAAATTGGGGACTGCTAGCACAGATAGTTTTTATGTAACTTTGCGCAAATGTTTGAAATAAATCATATTGAATCATCAAAACTAGTGGAGAAAGTTGTTGGCAAAAATGTGGACTGTTTTATTTGAAGCAGTGTTTCGCTTAAAGTACAGTTGTTTGGTTCAACTGAAACTATACAAGTCTGTTCTCCATATATATGTTACCCCTCCTTTTCTAAGAATACATGTAAATCAATGATTGCATGGTGTTGCGCAAGTCTGTGTATTTAAGTGTTGTTGTTTTTTACCTAAGGACATAAATACATTGAAAACTCAGTGCCTTCTTTTAACATGTGTAAAAGTATCTGAAACTGTTCGTAATGATTATTAGTAGTTATATTACTTTCACCTTAAGTTTTGCATAAGTAAGCATTGAATCCTTGCACCTGCTCGTGCGAATAATTACATAGAAAAACTTGCATGTGCGTGCGCGCGTGTTCATCTTTTTAATGAGGCAAGTTAGTGAAAAACCACATAGAAAAGAAGTAGTTCCTTATATTACAAATAGAAATCACAAACAGACAGACACGTAAATGTGTGTATGTGTGACCGCCCTAGCTCCGAGAGGAACGAATCTAGAAACCTGAAATTTTACACTCATACTAAGTGGACCCTGAGGGTGTGCACCTGTGTATTATTCTTATTCACGTGCATGTGCATCTTTTTAATAAGACAAGCTAGCGAAAAACCACAAAAAAAAGAAGTGGTTCCTTATATTACAAATTATAGATGTAACTCACAGACAGACAGAAAATAATTTATTATAATTTTAATGTAATTTATACATTTAATTTTATACTTTCAACACATAGACTCTTAACAACAATATTAGGTTATACTTTTATTGCTAAGCAACATGATATAAGCCATTGCAGGAACGCATTGATACCAAAACGCACTGGCTGTTCTATATATTAGAAGTTGTTGTATAAGGAACCACTTCCTTTTTATGTGTTTCCGCTAGATTGCCTCTTTAAAAAGATGTGCACGTGTGTCCGTCTGTTTCTGATTTATATCTATAATTTGTAATATAAGGAACCACTTCTTTAATCATAATATTATAATAATTACAATGTTATTATTATAGAGCGTGGCTGTGCTATCCTTGGGAAAACAACCATTATTGTTTAACCTGAAGCACTGCAACAGTGAAACATTGTAATAGATTCTGATAAAATGTGATAGAAATTTGTGATATCAAATATAAATGTGAAATATTTAACACAATGATAAAGTTCTTTGATAATAAATAATTCTTAATTTACTGTACTTTCTTTACGGCTTTTTTATGTTTCTGGAAAATAAAAATGTTTAAAATATTTTTGACTGTTCTTCTATGCTACAATAGGTTCAGAATACACACGCTGACATAGTCATCTTGAATATATCAACCTAATAACCCGAGCGAAGCCGGGTACTTAGGCTAGTTAGTAATAATATTAGTTTTACCTTAAGTTTTCCATAAGTAATCATTGAATCCTCAATTTTGAATACAGGGAACCACGCTTTAATATAATATCTCGTGGTTTTCTTAAAAGCATATCCACGATTTACGTGCATTTTGTTTTTATAAAATATAAAAAATGATCTCCTACAGTGTAAATAAACCCTTATATGTTCAATAATAACTTTGGTTTGTGAACTAAAGCTACTGATAATTATAACTTAGTCATAATTCAGATTATGACGATACACGTGACAAGAACTTTAGTGGTGAACTAAAGCTACTGATAATTATAACTTAGTCATAATTCAGATTATGACGATACACGTGACAAGAACTTTAGTGGTGAACTAAAGCTACTGATAATTATAACTTACTCATAATTCAGATTATGACGATACACGTGACAAGAACTTTGGTGAACTAAAGCTACTGATAATTATAACTTAGTCATACTTCAGATTATGACGATACACGTGACAAGAACTTTGGTGATGAACTAACCCTACTGATAATTATAACTTAGTCATAATTCAGATTATGACGATACATGTGACAAGAACTTTAGTGGTGAACTAAAGCTACTGATAATTATAACTTAGTCATAATTCAGATTATGACGATACACGTGTCAAGAACTTTGGTGGTGAACTAAAGCTACTGATAATTATAACTTAGTCGTAATTCAGATTATGACGATACACGTGACAAGAACTTTGGTGATGAACTAAAGCTACTGATAATTATAACTTAGTCGTAATTTAGGTTATGACGATACACGTGACAAGAACTTTGGTGATGAACTAAAGCTACTGATAATTATAATTTAGTCGTAATTCAGGTTATGACGATACACGTAACAAGAACTTTGGTGGTGAACAGCTGTAACAAAACTAAGTAAACACATAGAACAATCTTAATTCCTCGTATTTCTTATGTTCCAGAGTTCTAGCTGATTCAGGCGTGGGTTGGTCATGTGTTAAAGCTCTGGTTTTCGGATCTTGCGAACTGTATTCTAATCTTTAAGGTATCACCAAATACTTTCTGCACTGTGGGTGCGTTATAAGAGTGCTAGTCAATTCCGGTAGTGTAAATAGTGGATAGTCTAGGGTGCTGTGTTTCTTAGTCTTATCTAGTACCTCTCCTATACCAAAGTTCGAGCTAAAGGTTATACACTGCAAAAAAAAAATGTATATAGCACGAGTATAAAATATTGGGTACACATCTTTGTAATCGAATGTTCACTGTTTCAGTTGTGTGCACGTTCAGTCAAAAGAAGTTTTTGCAAATTGAAAACACACTCCCCACACAATAAAACATGAGTCAGAATATCAATATCTGACTACTATATCTGTAAAATGTAAAAATAAATTGCTACGGTTAATAGACTATATTCACCTTGTTTGGTTTCTTCATTTGATTATTTTACCTTTTACCTGGTACTGTTATTAACTTGTTATAGCTAATTTGATTATTTTACTTTTTACCTAGTTCTGTTATTAACTTTTTATAGTTAATTTGATTATTTTACTTTTTACCTAGTTCTGTTATTAACTTGTTATACATAATTTGATTATTTTACTTTTGACCTAGTTCTGTTATTAACTTGTTATACATAATTTGATTATTTTACTTTTGACCTAGTTCTGTTATTAACTTTTTATAATTTATTTTTCTCGTCTTCCCTCGTTGGGACAGCAGTAAGTTTGCGGAGTAACAACGCTAAAACCTGGGGTTCGATTACCCACGGTGTACAGAGCAGATATCCCAAAGTGGCTTTGCTCTAAAACAAAATTTTTTCATCTATTACGTATTGTTTATATGTATTTAAATACTGTTTCACAGTATGTAATAAAATAAAGCTCCAGTTAAAATTCTGAATCAATTGTGAAAATAAAAATGTCTCGCCAACTGGACACCACCCAAACCTCCCGAGCTATTTCAATAGCCAAAACATAAACAATTCAAAAATTTATTATTGAAATACGCATAGAAGCAATTTCTATTATAAAATGTAATAATGCCAAAATTATGTTATTTATCTATCACACACCTTATTGACACCAGAAAATAATTCAATGCAGTACACCTAATCAAAAGAAATAACGAACTCGCAGGTTGCCAAGCGTCAAGAATAACTTGATGAACTGAAGTTAACAAAAAACGGAACACGTCATAATAATTCCAACAGGAAGCTCTGAGTTAATATAAGGAAGAATAAGTTATACTACCTTGAAATAATCAGTGACAAGAAAGAAGCAAGAGCAAATTGTAAGTGTAATCATTTACCCATAGCATAAAGGACGATATAAACACACAAATATGGTAGAAGTATAACTTTGGTAGAAGTATAACTATGGTAGAAGTATAACTTTGGTAGAAGTATAACTATGGTAGAAGTATAACTTTGGTAGAAGTATAACTTTGGTAGAAGTATAACTATGGTAGAAGTATAACTTTGGTAGAAGTATAACTATGGTAGAAGTATAACTTTGGTAGAAGTATAACTTCCTGTCCAGTGATCAAGAACCAGAACAGCCCCGAGACTTTTGTTGCTAGGACAATCTGGTTAAATAACCTGAGAATTTAATGATCCAGTTTAATGTGCCACATATGCAACAACCAGTACAGAGTAGAGGAACAACTTCATAATGAGTACTATAGCAGAGGGAAGTAATACAAACTAGAGAAATCCTAGGTCAGCAATACAGTAGAAATTATATAGACAAAGGAAGCACCTTCAATATTAGAAACACAACAGGATTTAAACAAGTTCAAGAAAGGCAGATCAACAGGGCAACGGAAGTTATACAGGTTAACACATATTTCTAAACTATTTCGGGTCTGGTTGTTAGAGCGTTCGACTCGCAATGTGCGAGTCGCGACATCGAATCCTTTCACCGAACATCGCCCTTTTTGGTCGTGGGTGCGTTAAAATGTGACGTTCAAATTCA